AATGAGTCACTATTCAAATCCACAAGGGTTTCATTATAATAAATTTTCTTTATAGTTTTAGCATTATATTAAATCAGAAATTAAACTTTACTTAAAACTTTTTTAAAAAATTCATTATCAGACAAATTGAAAACAATTAAAAAGTTGTTTCTATTTAAAAAGTGACATTAATTGTACCAGTTAATCTTATCGCTTATAAAGTTTTGTAAAAAAAAGAAATTAATCGTGATTACGCAGTTGTAACTGATTAGAAAATTGATACTAAATATTAAAACTACATGATTTTAATATACGAAAGCAAAAATGGTTGAATGTTGTAAAAAAAAATTACTAAAAAGTTTTAAGGAAAATATTTTTTTAAAACCAGGAAATCGTAAATAAAATCTTATTACTAAAAAAGTAATAAAGTTTTCATAAAATTGACGCAGTTTTATGATTATTTCACCACTAATGATTCCATTTTTCTTTTTATGGTTAAAGAAATTGTAAATTTATGATGAAAAAAAAGGAGAAAAAAATTTCAAATAGAAGACTAATTGACACGCAAGTACAGTGCAAAAGGTGCTTTCTTCAATTTATCTTTATGTCGCTTACATGTCTAATAGTAATCGTCAAATTTTTTGAACGTACCTTAAAACTAAATTTCCTCAATAACAATAGAGACTATTTAAGATTGTTTAAAAATTTTATTTTAGTTACTAATAACAATAATAATAATAAAAAAAAGATCTTTTAGTTAAAATATATTGGCTTTAACCGAAATTAAAGCCTTAAAAAACTGAAATGCTGACTTTAAAACACCATTGGCATTAGAGGGTTAAATATATCAAATGTGTTTAGGTGCTGATACAGAAATTACTTTTACTACCTATAGCCACTAATTCCATTGATCGTAACACGATGCCATTTATCGGATAAGTTTGCCCGCGCAACATTTTAATTGATTCGATTATAACGTTAGTCTGGCTTCGTGTCTTAGAAATCATTTTTGGCCTCTCCTTGATTCTTTCATGCACAAAATTTTCCAAATAATAAAAAAAAAATAATAAAATAAATGCATTCCTCAAACATTATATTTGTCCTCAACAAATGCGTATGTAACTTTTTTCTCTCGTCAAATATTTTAATTCATCATTATACAGGTGGAAATAAAAAGCTTACTTGATGGAGCTAATCTGTGATCAGAAACGATATCAAAAGAGGTTTAAAAAATGCTGACGTGTGTAACATCCAAAAGAACGTTAATCAAACGATAAATTCCGGATTTAGGAACCTTCATGTCTTTATCGAGAGTAAATGACTAAGCGAGGAATTTAGAGATGAGGGAAAATGAAATGAAGAGCTTGATTAAAAATAAGTGTTGTTTATTGGAATAGAAAATAGTAGAAATGTGGCTGGGAACAAAATAAGCACAATAATCGGAGACTTAAGGCATACTGATTTTACAAAGGTGGAAAAAAATCCTAAGAGAATAAAAATTCTTAAATAAATTTGGTGGACGACATAGTTTTCCAGAACTAAGAAGAAGGTGACTGAAGGATCAACAATTAGATCCAGGAGCAAAACCTATCAAAAAATCGGAGACCTCCTGATTAAAATTAAAGATAGCTCTAAAAAGGCAGCTTCTACTTTGAAGATCAACAAAACTGTCCGAAAGCATGGGTCGCTGGATCGGAAGGTAATTTTAATATTTTTGTGATATTAATTGCTTTAGGAAGAAGTCTAAAAAAAAAATTAAAGAAACTTTTCAAAAAGCTAAAAAACAGGAAAATATTTCTAATACCCAGACATCGAGGGATGAAGCTCATAATTGTAACCGATCAGAAGGACATCTGATACAAGCACAAAGAAGACGGATATCTCCTATACGGAAAGAAGGTTTCACCTATAACCATCGTTCAGTCACCGAAAAACACGGTTATACGCACAAGAAATATTGATGCTAGGCCTTAACCCTCTATAACATGGTGTTGTCTAGAAGCAACATACCGTTCTATTTTTTTTTAAAGTGTACTATTTCTCTACAGATTTCGCGTCTTGCATCTCCACGGTACCCTGAAAACAGTTTCATCCCTCAAGTTGGTTCCCTTCTTTGATTCCTGTTGCAACTTTTTCGGAGTACCTCGCACTGAACACTTTTTAGTTTTGAACGACGAATTAAAAAAAACTGTTTTTTTTTATTAAATAAAGTAAAATTCGATTTCAAATGGTCAATATTTTTATAATGCTCATTCTGTAAAAATTTTAAAGCGACAAAATTTAATAATATTATTATTAAATTTTTTAATTATAAAAATATCCATCTGAAAATACGAAAATCAAAATATTACAAAAAAATGAGTTGATACAATTTATAAGCAATGCCAAGAGTTGAGACATTATAAAGAGGCGCGTTTGAGTTGTGATAGTTTAGCGTATAGCGTTAGAGTTGAGTTGAAATAATGGTTCTCTGACGAGTTAGTACAAAATAGTGCGAGATTTTCGAATTGAGCTAGTTTTATAAATCGAGCTCGAGATGAGATAAAATAAAAACTTGAGGGCGAGTTAGTATGAAGTAGCTCGGGACCATCGATATTTCGTTGAACGGCATTGAAATTTAGAGTGTCACTATATGCGTCATCTGAAATTTTAGGATGCGTGCACGGAAAAATCCCATATCTACACTGAGAGAAGAAAATCACGGAATCTGAAATGGAGAAGTTCAGCATCTGTACACCAAGTTGAGCGCAGCAGCAGCGTCACTGTGTGATAGATGCCGTACTAAAATGTTAAATGGATGTTGTGCTTGGCTTGAGTATAGATACTGTACACAGATATGGAACTGTTCAGAAGTACAGTATCTGTCGGTCGCTATGAGACAGATTCCGTATAACTTAGTTCACACCGTTGCCGCGCTGCTAGAGCTTAGTATCTGAACTATGAACGACACCAACTGAACAAAACTAAAGAACGGATACTGACACCCATTTTATACGGCCGGCGTTCGTCACAGTACGGATTCTGTGCATTTCTTCTCTCAGTGTAGCACGAAGGAAGGTCAATTCTTTCCTCTGTAAGGAGCAGTAAAACGAAAGAAAGGCGGAACACTTTGTAATATCCGAAAAGTGCACAGTCTTTTAACCATCCCTCAAGGAAGAAAGAAATAGAACAAGAATTTGTTTTTTTTTACCAACACGGTTGCAAAATTAAGATTCAATGTTAAATTCTCCAATAAATATCAGTTTTTTCTATAGAAATAATAACACACGCCAACACTGATTTTGGTGCGGCAGATGTTAGACCTGTTTTTGATATGTTTTTTCATGCTGAACACAAATCCGTAAACGAAAAGTTCCTATCAGCTCTAGTTTTTGAGAAAAACGGGTTTTAAATGTTCAAAAATCGCGTTTTTGGCTAACTTTGAGTACCTCTAGCACTGAAATAACAGGTCGTAGAACCTTCCACTTGGGCTTAAATTGAGGCTTAATGTTTCAACTATTATCCCCAAGTATGACCTATGTTGCACCATAATCTCAAAGTCATTTGTTATCATTTTTGATTCGCAAATATTAATTTTGTAAAAGTTTGAGCGCGTACCTTTAGCAAAGAAAAAATGATCATAGAACCTTTTATTTGAACTTAAAATAAAGTTTGAACTTTAGACTACAAGCCCTAAAAATTATATTATTCACTAATAACCTCAAAATTGTTGGTAACCAGTATTTAACTACAGAACTTATTTGGTAATATTTGAATAACTCTAGTCAATAAAACCAAAGGTGAGTGAACCTTCTTGTTGAGCTTCAATTCAATTTATCCCTTGACTGTAGTTCATAAAAATTACATTACTGCACCTTAACATCAAGAACTAGATGTACGCGCTGAAACTTTTACAAAATTAATATTTGGGAATCAAAAATGGATAACAAATGACTTTGAGGTTATGGTGCAAGATATGTCATTTTTGGGCATTATAGTTAAAACATTAAGCTTCAAATTAAGCCGAAGTGGAAGGTTCTACGACCTTTTGTTTCAGTGTTAGAGGTACTCAAAGTTAGCCAAAAACGCGATTTTTGAACATTTTAAACCCGTTTTTCTCAAAAACTAGAGCTGATAGGAAATTTTCGTTTACGGATTCGTGTTCGGCATGAAAAAACCTATCAGAAACAGGTCTGAAATTTGCCGCACCAAAAAAGTTTGCTAATTTTGTTGGCCTATGATAATTTAATGTATTTCCAAAGGCGAAATAAGATTTAGATTTCACGCAATTCCTCTAAAAGAGAAAATTTTACAATTACTTGAAATTTTAGAAGAAGAATATAACTGGTATGTGATAAACTAATAAAGGTTAAAGAGTATTTTTGGTAGCCGCTTTTTAAAGTAAGATTCTGCATTGAACTCGTGTAACAGTAGGAAAGGAATCCAAGAAATTTGTCTACGTAGTCGAATTTCAAAAGGCAGAGGGAAGACGAGAAGGCATATCTTCCAGGCCAATGGTTGTACACTACTGGCAAGTGACGGTCTGGATGGAATGTTGGCAAAGTGACAACGGGTTTAGGTTCCTTACTTTGGATGCCAGACATCGACAGAAATCAACATATCTTTCTTCAAATTTTGCGTTTAAACTACCGCCGAATATGAGAATTATTATTTTTTTTCACATGTTTTAACATTGTAATGTTATTCTTACGTGAAAAATAAAATTACATTGCAAAATTTGAAAATTATATTTAAATGAATCAAGTATTGAACTGTATATTAAAGTATTTAGTGAAAATTGTGTTATACATAATCAGAGTCCAGTATATTAAGGGAATTTCTAAGTTGAAATTTAATCAAAGTTTTCAATGAGTTTCGCCATTCTTTGAGGAAACTTCATAACAAGATGATACTCAATTGACTGAGAATTTAATTTGTAACGTACAGAGAGGATAATAGATCAAAGAAAGATTGAAAGGATAAAAAAGAGAGTATAGAGAAAAGTTAAAAGCAAAGAGAGAATATAAAGAAAAGAGACTTACCTCTCGCCGAGAGCTTTTTTGTATTAATAATTTTCGCCGCAAATTCGAGCCCTGAACTTTTCTGGACGCATCGTCGAACAACGGAGAAGGCGCCTCTGTAACATTAAAAATAACAATTATTATTATATTGCTTTAGATTATAATATAAAAATTTACAAATAAAACTGAATGTAATTCAAATTGTGATTCTACTATTCTCTCAATTTTATAAAGAGATAAAATTAAATTCAAAATTAATTCTACTCTCAACAATGGAAAATCTACACCAATAAGAACGTAACGTTCAAATTCGATTAAAGATAATTACAAATTTCCCGTCGACTATATGTAATTTACCAAAGTAAAATCTATGTCGAAATATATGGACATTGAGAATGGACTGTATGGAATACGAAGCACAAGCATAACGAAATATTGATAACTGTTTAACTCTGTTTTCACCTGTCAGCCTTATACGAGTACTACGTGCCAGTTCTCATATATGGTATCGAGAATATAGACTCAGTGCTTTAAACCACCTAGTTTTGAATAATTTATACCCGTCATTTAGACAGATTCAATAATTTTGCATTTCAAAATGATGGCGGCAACTCTTGATTTTCGCAAATATATTAAATGCCCAGTGAATTTCAAATATGATTCTCAATTTAATCCTTAATTCTCAATGGATGTTCTGTTAAAAAAAAAAAAACAAAAATATTTCATCATCTAGTTAATATAAATGTAATAAATTAATTTGTACTATTTAAATACTATTTTAAAATAGAAACATCAACAAATTAGAAATATAATGTTGCTTTCGTTCTGCTTGACAAATTCATTACCATTACTGCGGGTTCAATTACGAGCATGTTAACTTTGTCATGATTTGCATGTAACAAACATATTATTCATTAGGCTAAACCTTCACTCTAAACAGAATTGGTGTAATGAAATACGAATAGGTATTCTGTTACGCGTAAATTGTATACAAGTTTGGGTAACATTTTTTTGTTACTGTAATATATCACAAATCACTTTCTGCTACCTCATAGTTTATTACTGAATATATATTTATTACTTTAACTCATAAAACATAAGAAACTAAACTTATTAATAATCTTATAATAAACATAATTCACAACATTAGTATGCTGAAAATAATGTACTGCGCACAAACACTGTGCAACAGATTTTCATTTTTTTTTTATTTCTGAGACAGCATAGGGTGATTCTTATAGGTTTTTCGACGCTGAACATGAATCCGTAATCAGAATTGCTCAATCACCCTAGGTTTTCGAGAAATTTGACCTTGAAAATTGAAAAACTGCCGTTTTTAGGATACTTTTTGATTTTTTATTACGGTATCAAAATTTTTTCTGAGGTTTTCATGATATGCATATGAAAGCTGATATCCTTAACATTTTCCAATTGGCAATTTTATATCAAACTCTCAGATATAAAAAACATTGAAAATCATTTATAATTCACTGCAAATTTCTTTGTGATACAATTATATAGTTGAGAAAAATATGTCTAAAGCAGAAAGAGAATGTCTTGAATTTTAATTAATTATAAAATAATAAAGTTTTTGTAATTCTAAGACTTTAAGAGAATGAAAAGGTGGCTTAAAAGCCTCAAAGATAATTACAGAAGCTTCAAAGATTAATGAGCTTTAAAGGTAATTAACATTCAAACCGAAGGTTATTACATAGATCACGCGAGAAGAATTAACAATGACGAGTTTCATCTCAAAGTTATTTTTAAACAGCAATAAATAAAATCTCTTTTTCATCTCCTTTTAATAAAAACAATTTTTTCATTAGAAAAAAAATTAGATAAATTCTTGTACCATCTTTTTAGAAATAAATTTTTTAAAAGTAATTTTTCAAATTCTAAAATACCATTTCTATATATTTTCCCAAAGAACTCAAAAATTCAATATTTGAATTTACCTTTTGAATAGATATTTTCTATTTCTTGGTGGATCAAAGAAGAAAAATATATATTGCCAGAAAAAAAGAAATCTAATTCAAAAATGAAATCGATCGAAATTTTTGAAACAAGGTATTGATTCGAAACCATTCTCGCGATATGGTGGTTGGGAATGTCGCTTTTCCGAGGATTGGGTTGGTCGAGAGACGAGAGGAGGAGAAGGGCGCGTCTCCATGACGACCAATCATTACAGGAGATTGTGCTACCGGGTTACCGAGCCGATGAAGAGAGAAACTGGAAAAGAACATGCCGTTTCCTGCCTAGTAGACTATCTAATCATTTTTTACTTCTTTAAAAGGTCACGTTCTGTCACAATTTACACAGACGATTGTAATTAATCCATTTTCTTTGTCCATAGTTCTTTTTCACCTCAATCTGCAATTTAAAGAATAGAAATATAGAAAAAAAAGGAATAAAATTCCTAACCTTGAGAAGATAAGAATAAGAAAAAGTTATTTCACGTGTCGTGATGATAGTTAAAGTTTCATTCACATTATATGCCTGGACGAGCTGATCACTCAACGTCATGGAATTAGGGCGTGCAGAGCATTGCATTCAAGTAGAAGATGCCTTTGAGTCTCTAGTGTGATGTCTTTAAATAATCTCATGTACAAGTTATATACTCTTCTCTAGGAACAAGCGTTGATTCTCATGTTGATCGATTTTCAAAAACCGATCATCCGGATATAACTGACCTTAATTGAGTCCGACAATGCCAATAGAAAAAAAAGTTACCTTTTAGCCGCACTGGTTTAACTAATCGACTATATGGATTATAATAATCATTAGACAATAAATGAAAAAAGAAACGGTTTGAAAAAAAAAAAATTTTCATGGACACTATTCTCTAAATATTGGTAGGTTAAATTAAATTTTAGCTTCTTTTTCAGAATTTAAATTATAATTATATTAAAAGAGAAATTTCCAATAATCTCGCATGTTACAATTGTTTTCGAGATATCGGCTAATTACGATGCAATTCTTTTAATCCCTTGATATGGTAAAGAGAGAATATAATCCGCAATAATTAATTTTCATAACACAATAATGAATTAATATTCAATTATTCATTTGGAAGTATAAAAACGTAAATTGTTTTTTTTTCGAAGCAAATGTGTAAAGTCATATACACACATTGGATTATTTAGAATAGAGAAACAATATACAATGTAGAAATGAAGATTCATTGTGTTTGACCGGACATCTGGACCAACCACTAGAACACTGGTACACAGCAATTGTTCCTCTATTCTCAATGATCGTCACCTCCTCATTCCCTTTTCCACCGGGGATCTTCACAGTGACTGAATCACCGGTGAAATTACCGAGGCGTTAGTTACGTATAACCGTATTTCCATGCTCATCGTTACTACTATAAATATCATTTAAATAAAAGAAATTCATGACAAATTGGAAAATAATAATTTTAAATAAACTTGATCTAATATTCACGATGTGACTAAAATAATTAAATTAGAAACTGATGTTTATTTAAAGGTCCGTAGCGCTTATCTTCAAAGGCTTTACCAAAAAAAAAAAAAAAACCTTATCTGACAAAGTGCTATATATGGGTTGGATGAAATAGCACCTTAGCTTTTGATGTGAAAGGAAGTATTTTTGATAAGGAAGTTTTAGGAAAAAGAAGTTTCTAAATTACCCAAAAATCGTTTTTCTATAGAAGATGAAAGGAAAAGATTTTGGATAAACGATGAATTCGTACCCTGTCCTAGAGAAAGTATGTTTTCAGGATTTTGCTGAAAACTTTTATATTCAACAGTTGAATAGAAACAAGTTTTCAACCTCAACTTCTATTACTAAAGACATTTATCCTCACTTTTTTTTCTACTATTGCTGTCTTGCTTAAGATATCATCACTGATAACCAATGTCCTAAGGATTTTTGAGTTTGAAAAATTTATCTAACCGATTAACGCAAAAAATTTTCACTTTGATTTTACAACATAAGATTTAAAACATATAAAGATTAGATATTTTAGAACACAATGGGGGTATTTAGGGTCATTCTTTCAGATTCCAGGGTTAAAATGAAATTACGATCATCAGGAAATCCAATGTGGCGAGTAGAATACAAAAAAAAACTAGTGGAAAAAAGAAAAAACAGAAAAATTTGTAACAAAATTGGTATTTTTCGTTACTCAATTTAATATGATCACTGTTAATTGAAAGGGATCAAATTTGGATCCAAATATTGGGATAAATTCATTGCAATTTGATCCTTTGAAATTAACAGTACACTGTGTTTTTTAAACCGATTTAACCTAAAGGTTCTGGCACCTTGGATTTTTTTCTTGATTTCGATTCTAAATCATAAATACATCATTTTTCAATAAAAACGAAAATCTTCTGTGGAGACGTTTTTAAAAAAAGTCGATTTGAAAATTCAAAATGACAAAAACTCAACTTTTCTTCATGAAATATTCATTTAAGAAATAGTTTCATCAAATGGAATTTGTAGATATTAAAAAAAAGTATTTTATTGTTTTCACCAATTTCCTCTACAATTAATACTGTACCGGAAAAACGAAAAAAATAATATAATGACACGTTCATTACGTCCTGCCGCCGTCAGATGGCAGAAGCATGCAGGGAGCACAATGTCGCAGATGTTATCATATTACTTTCCTAATTTTTGTATGGATTTACACAATCTTTCAGATTTAGGAAATTTATAAGATAAGAATTCTTGGCATTTTGGCCGATTATGTAAAAGCTGTAGGTGTTTCGAGAGAAAAATATTTTTTATCACACATGGTGAAAATATACGAAGCTGAAGTACGCAACGTTTATGATAAACGATTTTTAAAGAAACAATTTTTTAAAATAAAAAATTCTATAATTTTTCGTCTAAAAAATATTTCTTGTAGTTGTCATTAATCAAGAAATTATATAAAAAAAAATTTTAGGCCAAAAATTGTAGAATTAAAAATTTTTAAATATTATTTCTTTAAAAATCGTTTGTCATAAACGTTGCGCACTTCAGCTTCGTCAAAATATACTATTAAAATCAATGTTTATCATTTTCATGTTCAGTGCCGTTTTTATAGGACGATAATTAAATGCCAAAGAATTTCAAAGACCGTTCGACACTTTTAAAAAATTAA